AACTAAAGCTGCATGTTGTGTCATGTGCAGGTTCAAATAAAGAAGAAGGAAAAGAAGCTACTCGTGCAGAAGTTTATATTCGAACCAAAACTTTTGAGGTGAGTAAAAGGTTTAATTTTTAATTATTTTATTTGTTTATTATTTTCGAATTTAGTTAAATTAATGTAATAGTAAAATCTTAATTAGATTCATGTCAATTAATGTTAGAAAATCAAAATGGAGCAAATTTCAAATTGTGATCGAGAAATTTTGAAATAGTGAAGGTTAGAGTCTAATTCTTCCTTTGGAATTCAGCATATTTCTTGAAACATAATGATTATTGTTTTATAAATTAATGGTATAAATCTGAAGGTTAAGAATATTTAATATTTGGTTTGAAATGAGGAGTAGACAAGGCTTAAGCTAACTAAAATTAAAGTTTTAAATTTATTAATTTAATTTTTGTTGTTTAGTATAATATTAAAGTCAGATCATATTAATTATTGGCATGAATCAATATTTAAGACTAATTGATTACAAGATACGAAAAATTTGAATATTTGATTTCAAGCAGGACTAAGGTGAGTAATTATATTTCTAAATTTCAATAATTTTCATTATTTCTAAATGTATGTTTGATTTCACTTATGGTATGTTCCATTGAAATCTAGATTATAATAAAATTTTTAAATTGTTAAATAGAAAATTATGCATGTTAAATAGTTGCATAATGATTTTTTTATAAAATCATTAGATTAGTGAATGACAATTAAATTATAGTAGATGTGCATATATAAATTATTACAAGACATATAAATGCTAGTATAGAAGCAAAAATCAATTTATTTCATAACATAGATTCTGTAAGAATGCATTTATTCATTTAGCGGATAAATGTAAAGCGTCTCATAAGAATGAAAGTATATTATGACGAATTAAATAGTGTATATATGATTGCTTGTATGTGGATACAAAGAGAAAGAGTTCACCCTCTCATAGTACAGATAGGGGACACAAATGTATCCGTGCGTGTTTATCTTATTCTACCATTATGGCCTATTTTGATGTTTAGATCACTAACCACTGTGTCATCGAGAGAATATCAATTAGGAGCGAGTAGACACATTTTCACCTCTAACAATCGTATAATTTAAATCACAAACCTCTATGCCAAAGAGATAATATTAGGCGGGGGTGTGTTAGGTTGTGTTTTGATTGTGCTCCTAAGATGAAAGTTAAAGTTAAAAGCATAAAGTATAAGAAATTTCAAAGATTCAACCTTAAAGGGTAAAGTTAAAATAAAAATTAAATTTTCAAAGATTATGCTTTCGCGTGTTGTTTGAGATTGTCAACGTTGATTGAAGAAATTCAGTCTGTTTTCAATTTTTCTAACTCTTTCAACTAGCCTGAGAAATAATTATTTCAAAAGGAGCCAAAGATAATCTCAATCAATCTCAATAACCGCGCAAAAATCTGTAACATTTTTCTTTCTGGGTACTGAAATAGTGTGGTGCATATATGAAAAGAGATGTGAATTTTATCTCATATTACACATTGTCTTGGACCTCTGAGTTGGATTGAAGAATATAACTTGTAAAGCTAATCTAACTGACGTTGGAATGAACCAATCCTTGAAAACTTTAAAAAAATCATTCCGCTGAATTTATGAAAGTTGTATTAGCTGAAATTTCCCTTTATGTTATGCATATCACCACCTCTTTGCTTCACCTCCTAACGTAAAAGTGGCTAGCACCACTCTCCAATTCTCTGGACAAATCATGCCCTCCATAATATTTTCAATCTTCAATAACCAATCTTGGGAAGTTTTAGGGCCACTGACACCTTTAAATACAGATAGCTTGAATGTCTAAAAGATCTTCAAACGTCGTTTAACTCCTGCACCATTTTCAGATTTGTGGGTCCTGTGCCGGTAGAAGATGTTTCAATCAACTATTTGTGATATCGACTGATCAATGTCATGTAATTCAATGACTTTAGTTTCTTTATTTGCCATATTCCGAATATCATTTCTATTTGAATCATTTTCAACATGCCTTTCTTATTATGCAATTAGCCTAAAAGGTGGGCCTTCGGTTTTTTTTTATTCATCCTCAGACATTTATCTATAATTTATCACATAGTAATTGTGTCATGCATGTATGATACCTTAAGTCATATGAGTTACCCACCCCAAATCAATCAACATATAGTTCTGCATAAATCAATTTGTATTTAATTTCATTCTTACTTCTTTTAAATCCAACAAGCTTCCGTCATTCTTTTCATCTAATAACTTGGTTCTGATACCACTTTTAATCACAATGCAAATGATCCCTTTATAAGGCCAACTGTGGTGCGACAATGGTAGACTAGTCGGTCAGACTAAATTCTCAAGAGCAATTATCTTAACTTGCATAATTAAAACCAGCTTGATGATGAACTAGTCAAACTAAATCACCGCAAAAGCACATTATACATTTCATTTCATAATTCATTAACATTCACATTTACTTAAAAGCGTGAAAATCATATCACCACAACAACAACAACAACAATAAAGCCTTAATCTCACTATGTGGGGTCGGCTACATAAATGTGGGGTCGGCTACATGGCTACATAAATCCTTTTAAAATAGAACTACTAAATCAAAATAATAAAAGCATGTACCCAAAAATCTATAAAACCTCCAAAACTATACAGGGCAAAAGTTCTACACGTCACACCTGACTACTCACTTTAGAGCTCCTTACACTTTTCTTGAAATTCCACAACATATACAACATAGAGAGACGAAAAAATGACTTTCTAAATGAAAAATGAAACAACATGCATGATCTTGGTAGCTCATATGCGTGACAGAAGAACATACATATAGACATGTTGAATTCATATCAATCAAATAAAATAAAAAGCATAGTAAATTGTAGCCGAGTAAAACATGTTGTAACCATATTACACATTTAAATTAAAGGATAAAAACATAGTAAACAGTAGATATTGGGTCAAACATACATTTCACTCATGTGCAAATCAAAATCATATACACAAGATTTCATAATCATATAAAGTCAAATTAAAACTGTCACTTGAGATTGTATAGATCTTGATTATTTTCATGTCATATCAATTAACTGGGTGGTCACCCAACTCGAATGCTACATAAACTATCGATAAAGGTTGGGCCCCTCCCAACATAGCAGCTAGCCCCTTTGATACCAGCGGTTCTCTACATTTTGTTCCTGTCTGATCTCAACAATTCCAAGAGTTTTGTCTTCGTCTAAATGTCAGAAGTTGGGAATCTCATTGCTTCCTATCATTTGTATTTATGTAATAGCCTACATATAATATTACTTGTGACATCTCTTTATATAACATCACTAGTGACATTTATTTAATCATAATTCCAGTAAAAAACATTCATCATAATATTTCATATATCATATGCATAAATCATAATAAATAAATACATGCAATCAATGATTTTATAAATATGTTCATCATATTCATTAGAATATTAAAATTATAAATATCATAAGTGACAAATCATATTTGCATTCATATAGTCTATACAAGTATTCATGCAAAATATGCAAAAAATCATAAATACAATTGTGAAACATGATCACATGAAAACCTGCAAAGTTATTTTTCTTAAGTCAGTAAAATATTATTTCACCTAAATCGATGAAACAGAACAACAAGTTTTCCCGATCTCACATTAAGCTCACCGCCTATTATAAACCACATGGAAACATAAACCTTTAGGATTTCATGAATTCTTAGCTTATATTGTATTTTAACTATAATATAATTCACTTATAAAATATAACCTCAAAAAGACTTCCCTCCATCACCAACTCACCAATACTTTCCTCTATTCCCTTTTTACTTAGCAGCCAACCAAAACTCGCCCTCTATTAAAACAAAACAGCCAACAAGTTTCATAGGAAGCTGAAAAAAATACATTCAACTTATTAGTATTTTGACAAAATTTATTATAGAAGTGTGTGTGTTTCCTACCCAATTACTTACCATACACAATCATTAATATCAGTTTTCTCTTAAAAATGCCTTCACAAGAATGGTAATTCTCTACCCAGATTACTATTCACATCTAAGGAAATTCGTAAATTAATGTAACCAATTGCAAATTCATAAGCATAATAACATATATTTCAAATGCCTTAATCAATTTCTTCCAATGCTCCTTAATTGCAGTATTTCCTTCCCCCAAAAGCCCAAACCGCAACCAGGAGCTGCAGGTCATCGCTCCAGCCAACACTTCCACCTCCTGCAAGCTACAACCTCCCTTCTGACTCTCCAGCACCCAATTCGCATGAAAATTGGTCCAGCCCATGAGCAGCAACAGGAACGGAAGAGGGAAATGCAGACTAGGGAAGGATTAAGGCTTATCACTGTCATATATATATATATATATATATATATATATATTATA